CTGGAAAGAGGTGAGGGTCCGAATCTCTGCGGGGAGCTCGTTCCATAGGCCGGAGCTGCCACAGAGAAGGCCCTCCCCCGGGTAATAGCCAGATGACATTGGCTAGTAGACGGAACCCGGAGGAGGCCTAATCTGTGTGATCTAATGGGTCTTTGGGAGGTAATTGGCAGCAGGCGGTCTCTCAAGTTGCTTGGCATGATTAGCTTCCTCATAGAGATGGCTTACTTGACAGTTTCACCTTTATGCAGTTGAAAAACAGTTATAGCAATTAACTTTTTTTTTCTATGCCATACTTTGGCCAAGGAAACTCCATTTTTATCAGTCTTGTCCAGACACTGGCGCGGAACTATTTCTGCATTAATCTCTACCTGATTAGCACACTTACGATGCTTTGGATCAGGCCACTGAACCAAATTAGAGATTTCCAAATTCTCTTAGTAGAACATTAATAATCCAGTTTTTCAAAGTCCTTGACACTTCCCCCAATTCTGCACTACAGCACCGAGGAGCCTCAAGAACAGAGTCAAAAATGAAGGTTTCTCGACTGGATGTTGTGACAAAAACTCTTTGCTTTGACTGGAAGGACCAAAACCATTCAAATCTGTATTTTTGAAGCTATGTTAATTTGCTTGAATACAATATTTAAATATTAAGGTTTTATTACAGGTGCCGATCTGTTACTGGATCAGCTTTCTAAATTATGTCTTTTTTTTTTTCCTTATAGGGATATGATGATAGATATGGGGGTGAATATGATGAACCAAGTTATGAAGCCTATGATAATAGCTATACTACACAAACACAAAAGTAAGTACTCATTATTTTAATGACAAACTCTCCCTGGCTTTCTTTACGTTTTTAACTTTTAACTCCCTCGCAGGTTATTGCTGGAACAACATCTTAACGTATCTCAGTTCTTACAATATGTATTTCAATAATATTAAAGTTATCACATTTCATGGTGCAATGACAGTCAAAATGATAGCCAATGACTTTTTTTTTTTCAAAAACCAAATCAAAGGACAGGTCTTCTTGTAAATGGGCTACCATTTCTGCACAAATGCAGTCTCTCATTGCTGTTCAAATCTCTTCCTGCTAAAAGACTATAAAACAGCAGATGAGCTTCAAGAAGAATAAAAGAAACAAAAAAGCCCATACAACATTGTAATAGGCAATCATATTTTATTGTTGTTGTTTACAATTTTTTTAATAGACCAGTTTGGTCGAGTGGTTAAGGCACCAGGCTAGAAAGCAAGAGACAGACATGAGTTCGAATCCCAACCTCAGTTGGGTAACCTTAAGCTTGTCCTTCTCTCTTAGCCCAACCTATATCACAGGATTGTTGTGGGGAAATTAGGAAGAAGAAAGTGTGCTGAATATGCTCACCACTTTGAGTTATTTGTAAAAAGAATAAAGGCAGGGTATAAATTAGATCAGTGTTTCTCAACCTTGGGGACTTGAAGTCCTGTGGACCTCAACTCCCAGAATCCCCCAGCCAGCTTGAGGTTGAGAAACACTGAATTAGATAAATAAGTAATGCAATTTGAATTTGTAACAAATTGTTGGTGCAAGATACAGATTAAGGCATGATAGATATGCAAGATTTCACTCCCAGACCCCATGAAAACCATACACATTGGAAACCAGGACCAGAATTAGGTTCAGTAACACCACGGTAATCTTGTAAGACCATGGCTTTCATAAGAAAGACTCTGGACAAAACTTAGGATGCGAGACATGCTAAAGCAAGCAGAAGTCAATAACTGATAAGGTATTTGGCAGAAAGGAATGTGTTGCTCAACAAGAGCAATGCATTTTCTGCTCAAGACAATAACTGAGTCTTTCAAGGCAAGGCATATCAGAAGGTACCTAGCATTGGAAAGGCAAATCGTTGTTTTGTACATTCTGTAATGGTTGTGGGAATAACCTTGAAAGACAGGAGGAAGAACCCTTCCCTAGGCAACAGTTTGGTCAACAAAATTGGAGCCCAACAGAAATGTAAGTTGAGACAGCATCTCAGAATGGATCCTCCCTAGATCTCTGGTAGATACAGGTAGGGAAGCAGGGAATACTTCCAGACTTGAAAGAGTCAATAGTCTTACAAGCAATAGCAATAGCAGTTAGACTTATATACTGCTTCATAGGGCTTTCAGCCCTCTCTAAGCGGTTTACAGAGTCAGCATATCGCCCCCAACAAC